GCCTCCAGGCTTAGCATTTGGGTGCTGCCTTCCTGATACCAGGGCCAAAGTGTGGTGACTCAACCCTCAGCAAGCCCAGGCTCAGGCATTGCCATCCTCACACCTCTGCCTCAGATTTGAAGCCAGAAGGCTTTACTGATGATATCCAGCATAGATGATAGGTACTGCAGTTGGGTTTCATACTTGCGTACTCAAAAGAAACATGATCAACAGGGTTAGAACCTGTAAAACATCACTGCCAGTATCATCTGTTGTTAGCATATGGTACAGATCCCTAACAGAGAGACTTCTGTGACTAAAGCAATTTCTTCTGTCTCTCTGAAATCAGACCGTCCCACCTTCATTGCCTTCCTTCAAGCTTTCAGAATTTTGGACCTGAAAGAGTGGGCAGCTACAGACACTCAATAGCTTTGATTAAGTCAAGTCCTTTATGGAAAGAGACAGCCTGACTTCTATCCTATTTGAAGTCAGGAAATCTCATGAACTGATTTTAAGAGAGTATTCAGACAGCATATCTGAATTAAAGTGGCATTAGTAAGTACTATACCTTATGGTCATGTTATTGTTTTCCTAGTCGTCAGGTCTCCAATGACTTCAGAGATCTTCCAACGCTATTAATCCATGGAATTGAGGCCCTTCTCATGTCATTATTAATTGGATTTTTGTACTATGGCCACGAGAAAAACAGACTTTCTATTCGTGACACAACAGCACTGTTGTACACGATAGGTGCATTAATCCCATTCATAGTGATTTTGGATGTTATTGCCAAATGTAAGTGCCAGTTTTCTCGTGAAATTCATAAGCAATCAAAATCAGAAAATTCTTAAATTGATAAAAAAATTATACTTTTTAATGCAGCCCTAAGATGAAACCAACCTGTTTTTTCCTGCCCTGCAGGTCATTCGGAAAGAGCTATGCTTTATCATGACTTGGAAGGTGGAATGTACTCTGTTAGCCCATACTTCTTTGCTAAGGTAATTGGATTCATTGCCAGAAAATACAAACTGCTAGCTTTAACATTAAAAAACACAAACAAGTCAAAGCCTCTTGTATAAATGATCACATTCTTATTTAACTTTGTTCTTTTGTGTCTGCCAGCTAAGGCTATTGTTCTTGCTTCCTTGGCATTAATGGATGAAACCTCACACTACTTTAGACCTGTTGTCATAAGTCATGGCCGAGATCCCATCCCAGAAAAGCCAAAGAAGAATCTTTCACTGGGTTTTAGCTGGAAGCTGAGAAATCTCAAACTCAAATGTGAAGGATTAGACCATTTTACATACCTGGATGTTTCATTCACGGAAACATTTTTGAAAGTTTGATTACATGCCTTGATCTGCAAAACAAAATATTAATACTAAATGCTAAAGCAAAGGTAAAATGGAAATGACAAAATGCTAACTGTGACATTTCCTTCCAATAGTTGTTTGGGCCTGTACTGGTCAGAGACAGACTTAAGTGCATAAAAAGCCAGAGTTTCTGAAAAAACAAAACCAAAACCCCAGAACTTTTTTTAAAAGTACATTCTTTTTTTTTCACAGGGGTTTAGAATAATCCCTTCTTTGTGATGTTGCCACTGTTAGATGAGTTCTGCCTGCCATGGCATCTGTAATTTAGGTTTCCATTTCTACACAAGACTTTAAATGCTTATTAATGGTTGCCAGAGAAAAATATTCTTTGCATTGTGTCACAAAGATTGCACATTATTCATAGAGAAATCGATGTAATTTATTACAACCTTAGTATTAGAAGATAGTTACAGCCCTCTTTGGAAGAAATAAGCATAATGCTCTCTCTATATATCTTTAGATATTTGAGAAAATCCTGTGCTTTTTTGTTTTACACTGAGTTTAGTAGCTGCTAAGTGGACTGCCTTTGGGACAAAGCAGGGAAGTGACCAACAGCCAAATTTGTCTCCAGTTTGATCTCACACCAGAGTCAACCAAATTTAGACAAAACATATGGTTTCCATGAGTCAGTAACAGTATTACTATCAAGCACACCAGTTCTCAGGGAAAGTGTCTTAAATTCTTAGTAGCTGCCAAAACAAGACATCTAATCTGTAACGAGAATCCTCTCAATTTAACAATTAGTTATAGGAATTGTCACAACTGGAGAAAGAATTAGTGAGGATTTCAGTTTCTGGTTTTGCATGTCACTGACAACACCTAACAGGGAGATGGCTGCATTCTACAGTTTTTTTTCCTGTAGTTTTTAGAAACAGTCCATAAGTACATTAAGGTACATCTCAGGTGGTTTTGTAAATATTATTCAACTTATTCTCTAATTTTTTCTTCCTGAGCAGATTTTGGGGGAGCTCCCAGAACACTGTGGCTTTGTTATCATTTCTGCAGTTCCCATCTACTGGCTGTCAAACCTTGCTCCTGAAGTAGAACATTTCCTGCTGTACTTCCTCTTGGTATGGCTGGCTGTGTACAGTGCCCGTGCAATGGCACTTTGGATGGCAGCACTGCTGCCGACATTACAGCTCGCAGCCTTCTTTGGCAACGTCATTTTCACAGCATGCTACCTGAGTGGTGGTTTTGTGATAAGCCTGAAAAACCTCTGGACAGGTAGGACAAAGCTCCCAACATGCCTCCAAACTGAAACACTGATGGTTTCCATCAGCAACTGGTTGTTGTGAGGCTGAGTGTGTCCAGGACAGGCAAACTGAGCTTTATTTCTACCTTTGCAATTGTCATCTTGGGTGGTGACATCTTGGAGTCAGATTGTTCATTTTACATCATTTTCTCCAAGAATGAGGTAATGAGAAGTTTGGTCAAGAAACCCACTAGTTTTTATATTGTTGCTAATTTTTTTCAGTGAAAGGAATTATATTCAGTAGATAAAGTCTAAGCTCCAGTTTTTACCTGTTGACTCTGTTGACAGTGGGAGTTTGAAAGACATGGGTATTAGTGTTCTCCTGATTGTCCATCTCCATGTGACAATATAAAGTATCTCTGCCATTTTGTCCAGTAATGAAATGGTATATATTTACAGCCTGTGGTTATCAAGAAATTAGATAAACCTGCTGTATCTGGCAGCCACACAGCAGTTTTTGAAGTCTCAAGTTGTGTGTATGTGTATCAATTTCTTTCTGCCTCTTTTTTTTCCTTCCAGTTCCATACTGGTTTTCTAGAATCTCTTTCCTCAGATGGAATTTTCAAGGAATGATGCAAATTCAGTTCACTGACACCACATATGAAATGCCTTTCGGAAATTTTAGTTTTCAAATACCGGGGAAACTTGTAAGTCGCTAATAAAGATCTTTACAAACATTTGATAACCAAGCAGAACGCTATTTGTGTGCCTGTCGTATTTAACTAGATGCTGCAGGACCCAAATTTGGCAAGCACTATATTAATATGTGAAGTCATGTTACACTTTGTATGTTTCAAATTTGGGCCGACAGCACTCACTTCTTTTGTGCCTTTCTTCATAGTGGAAGAGAAAAAAGGGAAAAAAATAAAATAAAGGGCAACTATTATCTACACAAGGCCCAATTACTGCTTGCTGAAATTGTACAGAAGCGGAGCTCTGTTCCTCAGGAATACTGCAGCCACTAGACATAGCGTATGTGTAACCAGCTATCAATCCTCTCCAGGAGTTATAGCCTGCTGGAGACCAAGGGGAAGGGCGGCAGGGACCAGACATACACCAAAATTGCGTGTCTGCTCCTAGTTTTGTGTTTTCCATGGTTACAGGTGATACAGTCTATGGACCTGGACTCCCACCCTCTCTACATGAGCTACCTCGTCCTCACTGGCACCATCGGCACTTTCCTGTTTTCCTACTACCTGTGTCTGAGATTCATCAAGCAGAAATCAACCCAAGACTGGTAACAGCAAACCACGCAGAGGAGGCAAGGACCCAGGGCAAGCCCACACGCTGATTTCCGGCGCAAAGAAAGCGGAGCCGCGGGGCCGGCTCGCCGCAGGATGGCAGCAGCACACCGGGAGCCGGGAGCCACCGGCTTCACTTCGGGATTGCAGCCCGGAATTGGGGCTTGGGAGAGGCTTGGGGGGAGGGTGGTTTTGTTTGACATACCGGTTTTATAGGTGACAAGACGCTTATGATTTCTCCACACCTTGAAATATTCTGAGCTATGGGCCAGCGATTTAAAAAGGACCCATCTTGCTTAGTAATAACTGATGTTTTAGTCCATCATGTTTGAATATAGAGTGATCACAGACTTAATTCTGAGCGAACAGCATCAGCACATGCAAAACACTGCTTTCTGTAGCCTGTATAACACTCAGCACTCAGAAGAACAGCCTAGAGGAAAGCAACACAGAAGATTTCACTGGTGCTTCAGGAGAACACGAAGTGTGGAAAACACAGCTGTTAACTGTGCGGGTTCTAATCTCTGATGTGTTTTAAGGCTTTGCCTCTGTGTACCAGTTCAATGCTGTTGATGCCCCAAAATGGGTATTTACTAACTGTACAGTTGATTTCTAGTAACAGAGCAAATTATCTCACCTTCTTGGGTTTATTTTTACAGTATAAATACATTCCAAGTGATTGTTATCAAGCCCATCTTTCTCCGTGGCAATAAAATCATAGCAATTTGCCAAGTTTGGTTCCTAAGATTTTTCAGGTAGAAAATACCTATCTGCCCCTCCAGTAATTAAAAATGTAATGATGCCATCTGTGAAATGCTTGTAATGGTGCACCTAGTTATGCTCCGACATAGGACACAAATGCTCACAAAACGACTAAGAGTAAATAAATGGCTATAATTCACCTGCAGTCACAGTAAGTGCTTGTGCAAACTATGTATACAGTTGTTGTGAGGATTTTATAACATTAACGTGGTTTTTCATTTGGATGCATATCTCTGCGCTTATACACAGAGACACAGAGCATGTTGTCTGCTCTACTTTGATTTACATGTTGCACACAGGGCGAAATTCCTAGTGTAATCAGCTATAACACCCTGAATACTGTTACGCAAATCTCTCCCCCCTCTTTCTTTTTTTTTAAGAAATAAGATGAAAGAGCATCAATATTTTATTATTCTATTTGGCCATTAGGACTGCCACATTACTTTACACAGGTTCCACGTGGTAATAAATTCCCAGGCACACTCTAGTCTAAAGGTGTTAAGCAGGTCTGATTAAATAACAGTTTCAGCCCCAGGCAGCAACAGGAATCCAAATCCATTCCAAGGTTCTTCTAAGGTGAATTTTACCATTTCTTCCCGGTTCTGCTGCATTTGATTTTGGAAAAAAAAGGACCCCAACAAACCCCACTTGATCTGATCCTAGTGCCATTTTGAAATTATCAGATTTTCATTGCCTGTTAATGGCAAAGCCAATTCTTTCAGTCCAATTCAGCATCATTAAATTGTCAGACTAGCAGCTTCCTGTTTGATTCTTAATTATTCCTTTTTATTATATTTAAGACACTTAATTTTTTTAAAGTGGTTTACTCTTCTTTGTAATGATCTGTTGTGATTAGAATCTCTTTTCTATTACACTGAAGTTTTAAGGGTATATATTGGTACTTCTAGTCTAAACCTCTATTTTCAAGGTATTTAGAGGATTAAATTCTAGGCTGACTCTCTGTTGTGAATTCACTTTGATGTTTAATAAAAAAAAAAAGGAGCGACACAATGGGAGAAATTAAAGACATAAGGGACAGCTCTGAATTTTAGGGGCATATTGTCATGCACAGAAATCTTCAGGCATCTAGATAAGAATATACCATAGCCTTAACTTTGAATTTCTTTCCTTTTGTGAAATTAGTCAGGCTGCTGACATTACTTAAACAGCCTTTTTCAATTTAAAATTCCACCCTCTTTAACATTATGCAGCAGGACCAAGCGGTGTGAGTGTTTCCGAGGTGGTGTTATGACAAGGGTGGATATATACATAATGGGAACTTGAGTGGTGAGCCTCGGAACAGCCATCGTATGGGGTGTAGGAAGAGCTATCATAGGATGCGGCCAGGCCTGTGTTTACACAGAAAAAGCTCATATTCTATATACTACAATTACATTAACACGCTGCCTATGATCATATCTTGTTTCCTTGATGCCTAGAGATGGGGAATATAGGCTGTGATTATTGTTACAGGCTTTAGCAATAAGAAGATGGGAGCCTTGAAATACCAGCAATTAGCGTTGGTGCCTAACAATAGCATGCCGTGGGGCTGTGTACCGGGAAGAGCACAGGGAAGAGCGGGTGGATGACACACCACCTGCCCCACTCGCTCTGCCAGGAGCTGAAAATAGTACAAGTTTAGGGGGAATTACCCACCTCCCAGCCAATGAAGGTCACGCTGTACACCATGGCCTCTGCCTTCGTGTCCTGCTTCACGTTAGTTTTGTGTGGTAAAAGTTTCACACTTCCACAGCGGAGCTGCTGCTGCTGCAAAAACAAGTGGACAGTGAGGGAACAGAAGTCTTCCTGAGAGTTCTAACCAAGGCTAAATGTCTTCATTTAACGTCAGCGCAGCTCTGCTTTCCAGGTCTCAAAGTAGGCGCCCTGTTTCCTCAGGACTCCCCTGTGTCAGCAGCAGCTCGGAGCGCCCTCCTGCCTACATCGGGATAACCAGCTGCAGCAGTCTGCCACCATCTCGACACAGAGACTAAAGATCACAAGCTCACTGTGCAGAACTCACCATCCTGTCCGTCCCGCACACGACAGAGCTCCGTTTGTTACGGAGGTTAAGCGCTGCAGTGAGGCAGATCTGCCATCCAAGGGGAGGACTGCCTGCGGAACAAGGTTGCAGGCCTGAGGATTCACCCACTCCCGCCTTTGCTCTCCTGTATCCTCCTCGGCCCTAAGTCACGGTCCCTGCTGGGGCAGGCAATCAGGACAGCGCAGGATGGGTTTTGGAACGGCATCATGCTTAGTTGGTTATGGAGTCTCCAAGTTGTTTTGCCCAGACGCCGTTTGGGCTGCCCAGTGCAGGACATGAACTGCACCGGGCTATGGGGTTTCAGCCTGCATACACAGCAAATTTGGGAACGGGAACATCAAATACAAGAGACAACAATATTTGTGAGGAAAATCCACCAAATTCAGAAGTAAAAAAATCTGTGTGGGTTAAACGGATACTATAAAGTACTGTGTGGACAACAGAACTGCATGGTGTCACACCACCCCTACGTACTAAAGATGGCGTCTTATCCGTAAAGACACAGGTAAGAAAGATATGTCTTTATTACTGGAAGTATTTAACACAGGGAGAGGTGGGAAAGTTCTTCCCCAACCTCCACTCCAAGTTTATGCAGCCTCTCCACTTGGCAAAAGGGACAAACTTCTTTAGCACTGGAAAATGGATTATAGAAACACTGCTTTGCATATTGGCTCGTGGGTAGTGGCAGTCCTCCAAAATACTTTTAACTCGTCGTTTGGAAAGGACTAGCTTTCACTATGGCTAAGCTAAATTAATAAGTAGCTGCTGAAAGTTTCATCCCGTATTTGTTCGTCGCTAAATGCATTCAGAAATGCTAAATAAGTAACAAGTATCAATAGCCACCCCTTTTAATTAAAAAAGACACCCGTGGAATTCCTTTAAAAACAGGTAAATCACAGCCAACATGCTAAGCAGGGAGGTGAGAAACTGCAGGTGTTGGTATGTCCACTAGTACCAGAAAAAACAAACCTGTCACGTTTTAGCCACAGTGATTAATTTTACTGGCAGTAGACAAGAGAGAAGGTACATGGAGCTCTGTGACATGCTGCTTTTTTTCCTGTTACACTCTGAGAGCCAAGACAAGCCCTTCACATGTTAGCAGCTATTAATTAAGGCAACAATGTTTAAGCAGTGGGTTGAGGTAATTTTAAAACCACTTAACCCTTTTAAGAACCGATGAGCTTTAAAAAGCATATACATGTGCGCGAGTTCATATTAGCGTGCGTATGCAGAGGTATCTGCATGAAGAGATTACATATATAGGTATATACACACACAACCATAATGCCTATGATAGCTCCTTTTTTTTTTTCTTTCAAGGAATAAGGAAAAATCAATTCAGATCCATGATTTACAGAAGTGCTGCTGCACTTACAGAAGTGATGTGATTAATTATAAAACTGTTTGTGGATGTTTACTCACTGAATCAAACTTATGGTTATTCTGAATTGCAAATTTTGTTGGCATTATTTTGCTTTTGTGGTTACAATTAGGTACTTTCATGCTTAGATAAATAATTTTGTGGTTATAATTAGGTACTTAATGCTTCCAGTACTAAGAAACTGCAGCTTAATAGACCCCTCAACCTTCACATCACAGCTCCAGAACCAGCATCTCCCATCAATGACACATTGTGGGTCTTTTGCTCATTTTAAGGATCTAATCAGACTTTGCCTAGATTACTGGCATGCTTACTGAGATCAGTACTGTTTCTGCCTCACCTTAATTCTTCACGTTGAACAATTGGGTTTAGAGGCACAAATGTTAAAGGACCGGCACATGCAAGATCCGATGCCAAGAAGAGTGCCCTGAAAGAACCGAGTATTACCTTAAGGATTACTTTTCAACAAACACCAGATCTTCTACTACTCTTACATGAAAACAGCTGATCACCTCATGGCCATGCTTCAACTCACTGTAGAAAGGTGCAAAGCCAAAATAAAAGGGACTTCCAAACCAGGCAACAGCAAAATATGCTGCTCCAACTGAAAACTTTGAGAAACAGGGCACATGCTGCCCTTAATTCACTGCTGCCAAGTGCAGGATGTTACATTACACAAGGCAGTCACTGGATTTCCAAGTAAGCCAGAGGCCAAACTTGTGGTAGCCATCGCCCCAAGAGACTTTGATCTCTGCTGAGAAAGGCAAAGCACCAATAATATTTTGCTCTTTCAGCCTTCCTTTAATACAACTAGTATTAGGAAAAACTCTTCCCTGTGAGGGTGGTGAGGTGCCCAGAGAGGCTGTGGCTGCCCCATCCCTGGCAGTGTTCAAGGCCAGGTTGGAAGAGACTTGGAGCAAGCTGTGCTAGTGGAAGGTGTCCCTGCCTGCGGCAGGGGCTGGAACTGGATGAGCTTTAAAGGTCCCTTCCAACCCAAAACAATCCACAATTCTGTGATGATTTTATGATTTAATTAACTGGCTTGTAATTCCTAGCAACATGGTCACAGGTTGCCACCCCTCACAGAGCTGAAGGGGCATTTCAGGCCAGCATTTCAGGAACAGTCAAAAAGCCAGAACCATCCCACCAGCTCCACAGTAATTCTGTACATAGAATTCCTGCCTTCCCCAAATCCTACAAGTAATCATGTAAAAAGCATTTTGGCTAAGTATTATTATTACCTAAGTGCACTATCTAATGACAGCAGAGCTCAGCACCCCAAACACTTTAGACACGCTTGCTTCAGGTCTATCCTTTCTAAAAGCACGACAAAAGAAAGGTGAAGTAATATTTTTAGCTTTATATACTCCATAGGGAATTTCTCAATGCTTCTGTATTGGAAAAACGCCGTTCAGCTTTGTAGTATGTTCAGTGACAGGCGCATGATAAATTTCCACTGGAAAAAACTCTCGAACATGACTGACAATAGTAAAGCCACAAATGACCGTAATTTTATGCCCCCCTGCAGCTAGTGGTATAAAACATAGTTTTCAACCTTGTTTTTCCTTGCTGAATTTAGACAAATTTATAATGTTATTGATGACAGCGAGAAAGACGCTCAAATGCAGAAATTGCATTCCTGGGCATAAACCAATTGGAGCTCTATATTTTATATGTATACTATAGATGATGAAAGATTTGGCTGTCATTAAAACTATAAAAAGATGGAAAACTAAAGGGGTTTTATTTTGAATTAATTTCATATTATATACACTATTATTTATTTTCAGCTATTGCACTCGATTGGGTTTTTTTCCTCCTCCCTGGCATGCTCAACAATTAACCAGTGCAACATGTGGTATAACTGCCTATTTGCTTCCTCACTCTGAGCACTAATGTTTGACATACAGGCTGAGTCAACAAAATCCTGAAGGAAAGCAAGAACCTCGTTTAAGCAAAGTCTATACATCTATGGCTCCTAACAGGTTTTCCAACACTCTATCATATGCCCGGTTTCTAGAGCGTAATTTTATTTACAAAGAGTTATGAGGGCCCTAAGACTGGACAATTGCTAGAGATGATCAAGGTTTACAGTCGACCTAGCCTCTATTAGCTGAGCTGTTCAAGCCATGAGCTAAACTGAGCAGAGGGAAATCCCAGGGACCACTTCAAATAACAAGGACAGTTGCTAGATTTATTTTTGGTTGAGGCAGGAAGGTTTTCTGAGTACGGCTGGGCAGCGGGCTCAGCACCCTGGTGCTGTTGCTTCAGTTACAGCCTCATGTCAGGCTGCAAATTCAGTGTCAGAACATACAAAGAAATTGTACCAGCCCCAATGCCAAATGCTGTCCCACGTTCAGACTCATCTTTAGAACCACCCAAAATTACACTAATAACACACTCCTACAGCTGTTTTTGAATTTGAGAAGTGCAGTTTAAGAGGCTGCTGCTGAAACAAACTTCCTTTGGGATTTTTGGCACATGATGATTATGCTCCTGTTTGAGTTACCCAGATGTACTCACAGGACTAGCACCAGCATGACTCGCCACGGTGGAAAGGCAGGAGAGAACCAGACAGCTCTGATCAATCCTTCACTGCCTCTTCCTTGAGCTGGGTTTAGCAGTCATCTTATCCTTCACAACTCTTGCTGCTACTGCTTTCTTCCCCAGTGAACCTCCAGAAGTGAGTGGTGGAGGAGGAGACAGTGGGAGCCATGAGAAAGGCAAAGATGCACAGTGGTGTGTCGTCGACCCTGGCTGCCAGTGAGCTGAGGGCTGCTCTTTCCACTCATGGCCATTTACTCACAATCCAACCAGCCCAAGGCATCACACTGAAGCTGCTAGCTTTTTCTTATTACCTCTCATCCTTCCCACCTAGGCATCTTCCCAGACCTTCCCATCCCTCCAGAGCTCCTCTGTGGCAATCTTGTATTTTGACTACTGTTCTTCAGACCCTCTTTTCCTATAAATAAAAATCCAGCACCCAGCAAAACAGCCTTTCAACAGCCTTGAGGGAATTTAGCCAGGCCAGCCTCATTCTGTCAACACCCCTCTGCTTTCCTTCCTGCTGAAAAAGTTCTCCATCTTAAAATCCACCCTCCTCTCCTCTCCTGAAGATTCATCTCCGTGATTCATCTGATTCATCTACAGCTCTTCCCATTACTCCACTTTCAGAGCTGCCCTGGTCTCACAGACTACGCAAAGAGCTGCAGATGCAAAATATTTGCAAACCCCAAAACTAAATTTACTGCTGTTTTTCAAGACTCATTGCTTTCACTACAAGACACTGATGCTTGATGTGTTCTGAACCTTAAGTTCAGTGGCACTTAGAGCTGAGTGAAATAACTATGAGAAACAGAACTAGGAGGAGGTGTGGAGCTACTGCTGCAGACAATAGCAATTCTATAGCTACCACTGCTTTATCACGGTGTTGTAAGGGTTATCACATGAGAAACTGTGAAGCATTAGCCAGCTGTAATATAGAGGTTTAGGAGCACCAGAGAGAAACCTTGCATTAATAGTTTTATCTAAAAGTAGATCAATGGGGAATCCCCGTCTATAGCAGGCACTGCATAAGACAGTCTCTATTATCTCATTTTTCTTAATTACAGGAAACAGCAGAGAAAACTCTAACCTCAAACTTCCGTGTCTGCTTATTTCCATACCTAATGGGAATTTCAGAACTTCGCTCCTATAACTGAAGCTATGCACACTTGTACCCAGGAAGATGCCCTGGGACTAAATGAGAGTGTC